TAGCAGCTCAAGAGATTGGCCACTTGACCTGTGGAAAGTGGCTTCTCAATTTTAATATGTGTACAGATCATTTGAAAATCTTGTTATGGTGCAGGTTCAGATTCTGGTGCTCTAGGCTGGGGCCTAAATGTTGGTGTTTCTAGCAGGCTCCCAGATGATGCCAGTGCGGCTGACCCATTTATCACCCTGAGGAATGAGATTCGAGAAAGTCCCATGTTCCAGATTTCTCTTGATTGTTTTCTCCTCGTGCCTTTTAGTTAAAATTTCTTTAACTTGGAAGATAAATCTATAGGTTTGATTAGATTGAATCATTTTTGGCTGATAGCATATATCAAAAGTACTTCTCCCTGCATCGCATCAAGAAACAGTATCTGATTGTCCCCATCATTAATGATGCTAAATTGAGCCCTAGATTAGGGTAGTAGCCACATGATCTTCCCATGTAACCAGGAAAGGGTGGTTGTTTCTGCTTGCAACCTACAAGTTATCTCTGTGATACTACTTTGGCATCATACAGATACCCAGTTCTGTAAACCATTCACCAGTTGATAATCCTTTCATGAATCAATAATGTTTCAGAAGTTGTGATGATTTTTAATTGAAATTTCTTTGATTTTTACTAACTGCCATTCTTTTGTGAAGTAGAACTCTCCTTCATCAACTGGGACGTTTTGGTTACTTCATAGGAGACAGTTCCTATAGGAAAAGGAAGATAAGTGCTTAATTTTTCCCTTTTATTTTCCAATTTTCAAAGAGTTAGTTTAAAAGCCACCCCAGTGTGACAAATGAGTTTTTTCTAATTTTCTCCTCTGTTTTTTGATTATCATGTATAAACTCAGTTTTTCATAGAATCAGTGTATTTTAGTCAGCTGTATTCTTTTTTGATGTTCATATTGTACAGTTTTGACTACTGGTTGCCTTTTTATGCTTGATCTCAACCAAAAGGCTGAGAAGGGTTTACTGATGGTCTTTTTTGAACCGCCTCCAATCTTACCCTTTGGATCTTTGAATGATCCCTTCCTTGCTGGCTCAACAAGATAATCTAGACATTTTGTACTTGCTCTAGGTATGGAGCAAGCTGTTTCTCCAAGGACTCCTGGATATTAGAAAAAAATCTAGACTTTAGGAATGTCACTGATACTGGATGATATTGTTTCTAGGTCCATTCTGTGAACTGAGCTAGACAATACATATTTTTTCAAATCCTGAAATCATACTCATATTTTCAGTTCAATTTTAATAATATTTTTACTTAATTTTGTATGCTTCTATTTTGTTTCTCTTAACACTTGATTCCTTACTGCAGTAGTTCTAACTGTGGCACTCACCAGAACCACCTAGCCAGCTTCATACCCTTGCTAGGCCCCACCCCCTAGAGTTTCCAATCTAGTAGGTCTGGGTGAGGCCCAGGGATTTGCTAATCCATGTTCTCAGGTGATTTTTGAGGCTGCTGGTCCAGACCATACTTTGAGAACCACCCTTTGAACATGGTTTTCTTAAAGGTGTTGAGCCAGATTGAAGATAATTTAGGAAAAAATTGATGTTTCAAAGATAAGACATGTGCTTTGCATATTTGAGGACAGAATGGAGAAAACCAAGAGAAATTTTGAAGATAATGGAGCAGGAGGTGTGCATGGTAGTAGAAGTCTCTCAGGCTTCCAGGAATTTTGGAGAGGGGTAGTGTGAGGACAAATAGGTTTCAGGGGCCACTGTTTAATTTGGCACGAGATTTTTCTTGTCTCTGTCTCACTCATCAGAGTGTAAAGGAAGGAGGGGTGGTTTGAAATGATTTCAGCCTGTTACTAATACCTTTTTTCCTGATACGTTTTTCATTTCAGATTAGGGTGCTTCCGTTTCCCTCAAGTCTTTTTAACTGTAAATGACAGGTTAGGTGATTTTAATAGAAAATTATAGGTCTTTTGTTTAATACTAGCGTTTTAAATGTATACATAAGGCAGCCTTAATCAGAAACTTACAAAGATGAAGTCTCTCGTGTAATTTGACTTTCTTTTAACTCGGGAATCCATTAGAAAGCTTGCAATTTTTATCTCATTAATTAAAAAAATCTGACAGCTACTTATATAGTATGACTCCCCCAGGTGTGATAGGAAATGGGATAGATTGTGCAGTCTGAGGGGCGGGGTGAGGGACTAATTTAAGTTTCTGCTAACATATTGCCTTTGTCTTTTCTAAAAATGAAAAAAGTTGCAGTTTTTCCACAAATTAGGTGGCTTTCTGTAACATCTTTCTTTTAAAAGGGCCTTTAAAAGGGTGGGCATTTTCAGATCTGCCCCATTTACTGAATCTCATTAACATCATGTTCCAGTGTTTTTTGTTCTTTCAGTTAAGTGATTTCTTGTTTCATACAGTTTAAGCTTTGTTCTTAAAAGCTAAAATATTTGGCCTTAAATAATACTATATATATATAAAATAAATAAAACTATTTTAAAAATAGTTTTTTAGGGTTTTTGGTGGGGCAAGTGGTAAGAGGGGGTTTTTTTCTTGGGCTCAAAAGCATCGTTACACACATCTGTTACTGTTTTTTGCTGAAGTAAAATGCTGCTTGAGGCCCTTGAGGAATTTGGAGCCATTTTCCCAAAAGCCAAATGACTCTAGAATGCTATCTTACGCTGTTTCTCATTTATCTGCTTCTGTGCTGGGCAGGTGATGGAGGTTTTTAGACTTACTGTTAAGGTAGGCAGAGTTGGCTGCCTTCCTGGAGTCCAATTGCTATGTGTTGAAACAGGCATTGCAGGTCTTCTGCAGCTCTTTTTCATGTATTCTACTTAAAACTCTGCTACAGGTGGTTGAAATTGTGAAATGCTGATTACTGACTTCAGTCTTCATAGTAACTGCTACATTCACACAGATGGCTATTCAATTCTTTTTTTTTTTTTTGTTAGAACAACTCACCAAAATAAAATTCCGGTTTATTGTTGGACAACATTGTTTCACACATACATCAAACAGGCCAAAAAAAATAAACAGCAACTTCATAGACAAAAAAGGAAAAAAAAAGAAACTTTTATCTTTGGCCTTTTTAACCATCTCATACAAACCAACTACTTATAGTACAGCTAAGTACATACACAAAAAAAGTTACTGGAATGCTCGGAATAAGATTTTTTTGTTTTTGCTTTTTTTTTATAATTTTTTTTCTCCTTTGAGATTATAATGAACATGGTCACACCAGAAGTAAAGTCAGAAGTAGGATGACAGCAAAAAAAAAAAAAGTGGCTGCTCAATTCTAAAGTAATTTTGGGGGCACCTGGGTGTCCCAGTCGGTTAAGTGTCTGCCTTCGGCTTGGGTTATGATCTCAGGGTCCTGGGATTGAGCCCCACGTCAGGCTTCCTACTAAGCGGGGAGTCTGCTTTTCCCTCTCCCTCTGCCGCTCCCCCTGCGTGTGCTCTTGCTCTCTCAAATAAATAATCTTAAAAAAATAAATAATGTACATTTTGAGGAGTGCCTGGGTTGGTTAAACGCCCAGCTCTTGATCTCAGCTCAGGTCTTGATCTCAGTTTGAGCCCCACGTGGAGCCTACTTAAAAGTACTTTTTGAATCCTCAAAGATCATATTCAGTGTATTTATTTTAAAATATCTAGTAATTGGTCAGTTGCATAAAGGCAATAGTTTTAGTCTAACCTTTCTGAAATCTGATGAAAGTTGTAGGCTTTCGCCATCACAGAAATGCTTCTATGCTCAATTTCGGGTAAGTTGAGCCCCCCAAACACATCATTCACTAACCTATCTTAATAAAGTACTGAGGTCAGTTTTCATGTGATTTGCAAACTCAGTCTTAATATTTCATAGTCACTAACTCTATATTTTTTAAAAAGAATTTAGCTGCTAAATATTCTTGATAAACATTTACTGTGTACTTTTAAAATATAGTTATGGTGATCTGGCAATTTTAGAAAATAAAAATTAAGATCTTCTAGGTAAATATTTTTTTATACCATTGTTCATGAAATGCTTACAAAATAAACCCCATACTTTTGGTGTTAATATTTTTTCCAGCCCTTTTTTTTTTTTTTAAAAGCTGGAAAACTAATTATAATTTGTAGCTCTTACCATGAAGGGCTTAACTTCCTAACACGTAAAGTGCTCCTAGAAATAAAAAAAGTAGTGGTCAGAGAAGAAGATAGCCTTCCTGAAAGAAACACAGGTGACTCCTTGTACTGGATAGGAGTAGAAACTCACCACCAATTTAGCTTTTGTGTAATAGAACCCACTAGGAATCTAATGTAAGGAGATAAAAAGAAAAAAGTATACAAAATAGGCTTGTGTATGCAGGATGGTTTGGTTCTGTCTAAAAATTTCCTTTAACCTGTTCGTTCCAGCTAAATTTATGAAATTGCCAAAAATTATGCAAACTGCATGGCTGCATTTATAAATATTAATTTGTAGCCAGTATAGGTGTTTTTAAGCTGCAAATTTCATACCTTTGACACTATTTCTAAAGCATTTACTTATGCACGTATAAACATTAAATTGTAGAATTTAAGATTTTGCTTGGTGGCTTCAGGATTCGAGTAACCGAGATTAAACCTTTTCCCACCCTGATCACACAAAGTTTCATTTGAATTGAGTTACTTCTTGAAGGATTATTTTAAAGGTTAGTTTAACAACTTATACTAGATAAGAGGCATTTATTACTAGGGTATTTTTTGCACATATGTTCTTTTTTTTTTTTTTTTTTTAAACTTAGTGGTAGGGGCTCCTGGGTGGCTCCGTTGGTTAAGCAACTGCCTTTGGCTCAGGTCATGATCCTGCATGATCCTGGAGTCCCGGGATCGAGTCCTGCATTGGGCTCCCTGCTCAGCAGGGAGTCTGCTTCTCCCTCTGACCCTCTCATGCTCTCTCTCTCTCTCTCATTCTCTCTCTCTCAAATAAATAAAAATAAATAAACTTAGTAAAGTTGAAGAAAAATGCCTTTTAAAGGTCTTTTGAATCCATCATATTTACTATAAGCAAGTTAAAACTTTCTCTTTTCTTCCAGATAAAGCTTCACCAAGAAGGTTGCCCAGGAAACGGGCACAGAAGAGATCAGTGGGATCTGATGAGTAAATGTCCCTTTGTGCAACAATTCAGTCTTTACTTAACCTGCCCTAATGTTTTTCGGCCTGATGGGAGTTAGTGCAGAGAAGCCATATCACCATAGAAGGCAACTACTGCTTATGTGTGGACTGAGCCATCAGAGTCTGTGGCGATAATATTACTGAAAATGCACTGCATTCATTTTTCTAAAGTAACAAATTTGGGTTTTTTTAAGCCATTAAAATCTATGTGTGTGCGTGTGTATGTCTGTGAGCAGTTGGTGTTACCAGAATCATTGTTGAACTACCTGAAGCCTGCCTTTAGAATACTAAATATAATGCTGTTATCTCTTTTTGACATTTTCTGATATTTCCCCCAAAACTCAATATTTGTCCAATATGATGGTCAGTGTCCTGCCTTAGACTGTTTTAAAGAAAACAGTTTTGTTTCTTTCTTAGAATTGCTCAAATCCAGTTGATGGCGCAAATTAGTATTTTGTTACTGTTGCTCTTTTACAACTAGTATTCTAAAGGCACAAACAGGAGTAGCTGCTTTTTAGCAATAGAACTGTTTTGGTATTTTGCTGCTGTTTACTATAATGCGCACCTTCAGAAAACTTCCCGAATGAGTCCAAGGAATTTGGGGATTTCTAGCAACAAAATTGTGAAGCATCAGAATTCTGCTGATTTTGATATATAAAACCACCTCACCCTCTTTTTCTTTTTCTACCTTTTTTTTTTTTTTTTAAGAAACTGGTACATTTGTGGGACCTGAGTTGTGTTACCCATTGTTGTTTTATTTCTGACCCACTTAGTTCTTTTTGTTTTTTTAATCATTTTTTCCTTAATAGGAGTATCTTGCTTAAGAAAAATTGTCTGTGTCTATAGACTAAGCAAAAAGTCAGTTTATAGGGGCAGAGATATATTACAAGTAATACTAATCTGTAAAAAAAAAAAAAAAAAAAAAGCTGGCTATTTTTTTAAGTAGTTAACCAGTTGGTTTTTATCTAATCTTTTGGGTATTTTGTTCAGAAAAACTTTTTTAAATAGTTAATCTGAAGAATTCCAAAATTTTAAGCACTTAAGATCTCAGAATCAAAATTAAATTGGACTTTATAAAATCCTGTTAGAGTCACTCTTGTCCTAGGTAGTAAATTAAGTTTGGCATTATTGTCAGACTAGATAAAGGGTAAAGTAAAATAGTATGAACAGATAAGAGGCCTTTCCCCTCTGCTTTTAAGCCATATTCTCCCACATATATTTTGTAAAGAAATGGTAAATGAAATTATAGTGGCTATTTAATTCCTGATCTGTCTTAATACAATGAACTGACCCCTCCCCCCTCGTCTTTATAATCCCCACCCATGCCCACATGAAACCACAGCAAAACAAGACACACAAACAAAAAATCTTACCAAGTTCTTTTAAGTATTTAAACATCTGAGCCAAAGCCTATGACAATAGAATAGAAGTTATTATTGTATAGTTGTTAATCACTTTGCAAGTAGGGGCTAAGGTGTCAAATTATCTATATTGGCGTTGCTGAACTATAAACATTCTATACCTGTAATATAAAGTGTTTGAGTTTTTAATTGGGCTGTATGATCAGTAGCTTATTTTGAAAAAGCTCTATGAGCTGTAAAAACTGCATGTTTTTTGTTTAATGTAATATAGGAGACCCTCCTATATTCCTTCTCAAGGAATATATTTCAAAACATTGTTTTGTGAATTCCTAAGTTTGTGAAACTATTAGAACATAACGCAGTGAGGTGTAATTACAAAATTTAAATGGTTTCTAGACAGTTTCATTGACTACTCGGTGGTACTTAGGCATTGGCAAAGCCACACTGAGTTACAGGTGCCAGCCCGTCTGACTCCTAAGGAATTTGCCTTACATGCTAGCCTTTCCACTGCTGAGGTTCAAATTAGTGCCTCAGAAAACATTTGTCATGTTTTATTTTTTAGCATCGATTGGGAACAGTTGAAAACTTAAATCCTCAACTGCCAGGGTCTTCTATAGTATCAGTATGTGTTTAGCAGAAAACTAACTCCGTAATGAATGGAATTCAATTCCACACATGGTTTGTTCAAGCACACTTAATAAGTAGCCTATTTTTTAAATGTCTTTTTTAAATGTAAATATTTGGATGAAGTTTTTAAAGTTTGTTTTGATATATTCATTTGCTACACCAACCATGGTTTCAGAATTCACCTTTTGAGCTAATTGGTTTCAGAATCTGTAAAATGAACCAAGAATCTTGTGTATCAAACCTGTCACGCAGACATGTGAGAATAATGTGTTCATAAAGCATGGATCTTGCTTTCGTTGTATAGCTTCATCATTCATTTCATGGTCTTATGTAGTGAGTGACTTTTCAGACTACCCCTGCCCTCTGAAGTGTTGTCTGAGCAGGGTGCTGGGGTGGGAATGGGACCTGCAAGATCCTGAGGAAGATAGAAGTCAGAAGAAAAGGAACATGGACTTGATTTTATAAAGTAGTTTTTAAATAAGTTTCAGAAAATAGTGACTTTGATAGGAGGAAAAAGCAAATTTAGATCTTAAAAAAAAAAAAAAAAACCCAACATTAAAAAGCCACTGCCTGAAAGGTGTATTTGCAGTGCATTAGCCTATATTTGTCTTTGCCTCTATTGAGGAGTAGTTAATGGTGGTAATGTGACCTTGAAATCTTTGTTTAATGACTGAACATTATTTTGGAGATACAGTAGTAGGTAAATGTAATATGTCAGTCTCTCATACAGCATTCATCTTTTTTGATACAATGATATCCATACCCTTGGTTTGAAGAAAAAAGAAACTTGGTTAGTGCATTTAAATAATGATGTAATTTTTTTTTTTTTTTTTTTTACCTTGAACTTGGCAATACACATTGTTTCTCCAGGATTTTGATAGGTTACAATCCTTGGTTTTTCTTTATTTTAGTTCCAAAATTAGATGTTAGGTTAAATTTAAAAATTTAAGTCTGTATTTCCACGTACACTTGAAATAATTTGCCACATTTTTGGACAGCATCATTTATAGCTGTAAAATCAATACATTTGTTCTGGTTTTACTAAATAAAATCCTACTTTGAACTAATATCTCCACCTTAGTGAAGAGCAGCCTGACCTGTCAGGCCCTCACTACTAGCATAAAGTAGAGTATTAGGATAGTACGAGGCAAGAACAGAACTGACCTGCAAACTTCTCAACAGTTTTCTTTACGCCTCTTACAGAACTGTACCAGTTAATATTTGTATGATTTTATTTGTTTACAGAAAAGCCTAGACTTTCATAGTAATTAATTCTATATGTAATCTGAAGTTCTGGAGTTTTCCTTTTTTCAGACTTTGGAATTATTTCTTGAGGTTCTGGTACCATTTAGCTGCTTTTTTAGAAAAGGAACTCATTTATTAAACATCAGCCATGGATTGTGTTCTCTTGGGCCTTTCCATTCATCTTCTAATAAACCTTCATAGCAACTGAAGGAAGGTGATTCTCACTTTATAGGTGGAAAAAACAAAACCTCCTGAATTTTAAGTAGCTTGCGTAAGGTGTTACATACTGAATTTAGATTCAGAGCTTTTTCTAAAACTCCCACATTCTTTCCCCTGCACCATGTTTAAGATGGAAATTTTATAAAACCAAGCATTTGGGCAGCTTACAAATACTTGGTTTTCCAGAATTAAGCAACTGAAAAGTTCCAATAAACTCAGTACTTATTCTCTGTATTTGTACTATACAGTAGGATATAAATGCCACTCAACTCCAGAATACTATGAAATAACCCCAGTGAGTCTTCTGAGCTGTTATAAATCAATTTGTGTGTTTGTGGTGTATACATATAATTTGAAATTTTTTATATACTTCAGTTATCCACAGTACCCTATTTAATCTTGATAATGACACCTCTTTAAATACCCTTGATTAACAAAATCATCGTCTTCAAAAACATTTTAAGATTGATATGCTAGTTTGGCTGGATTTTCAAGTTTTAAAGGGTTGAAGATTCATCTTCATGTTAAAAGATGAGAGTGAAGTACAGTTGACCTCTGAACGGGTTTGAACTGCATGGGTCCACTTATACATTGATTTTTTTCAATAAATACAGTTCTGTAAATGTATTTCCTCTTATGATTTTCTTAATCTTTTTTTCTAGCTTTATTGTAAGGATATCGTATATAATATATATATAAAATATGTGTTAACTATATTATTGCTAATGGTTCTGGTCAACAGTAGGCTCTTAGTAGTTATGTTTTTGAGGAGTCAAAAGTTGTATGTGGATTTTTGACTGCGCCGGAATCAGCGCCCCAAAGCCCGCATTCAAGGGTCAACTGTACTTGTTCTTGGGTTATACAGCTACACAAAACTGGGATTGTAGATTAGGCTTCTGTCTTCTTTCTGTTCAAGTGTGGATGTCCCTTAAGAGGCACCATGGAGCATTAGAAAAGAAAAAACAATATCCTCTAGAAAACTTGAAGATCAACCCTTACGTAGATTTTTGTTATAGTACCTGTGACGATCTGTCGCCTTGGGTGATAGGTCTGTCTCTCTGCGGACTGTGAGTTCTGCATCTTATTTGCGTTTTATCCCCAGTTTCTAGCTTGCAGTTTTCATGTGGAAGCCTTATCACAAGTGTTTAAAGAAAGAATGAGAAAATGTGGGCCAGTTTTCTTTTGTCATTCTTCCATGGGATTGTGTTTAGAAGTGTTCCTGATGATAACCCAGTATCACTGGCAATTCTCTGAGGTTGAACAAAGATGGTATGGTTTGCTAGCCTTTGGATTGGGAATGTAGTCTACCCTGGCCACTAAAGTGTGACCTTGAGAAGGCAGCTCATCTGTGGAGTCTTGATGTGTTCTTTTTAAATTGAGAGATACTTGAAGTGTCCCAAATTGTTACCTCCAAACCCTTAATACAATGTTATTAAGTGATTCTTAAATTTAGTTAGCAAACCCAGAAAAAACTAAGGTATATAATGGACTCCTCTGTGGCTGCCTGGATTCAAATTCCAGCTCTCTCAGAGTCAAGTTACATCATCTCATTGACTTCAGTTTTGGGTGCCTACCTTTTAGAGTTGTGAGCTGTTCAGAACTTTGGCGCTTCGGAAGCTATGTAAGTGATCGCTACTGCTGTTGTAAAGCTCCATACTGTTGTAACATCCCGTGAAGCATATGAGTGGGAGGTGTATATGGTACTTTTTGGGCTTAAACATGGATAGTAGTTAAATTCTGTAGAGGAAAGCTAAATAATGGTATTTTTTTTTAGCTAAAGAGTGAAAGTCTTAAGATGGACATGTAATGTGGCTAGCTGTCTGGATATAATAAGGGACCAGAGCAAGAGGGCTGCCAAGGAGAGTTTTATTGTAATCTATTAGAGCCTGCCCATCAAACTGAGAAATCTGTTTCAGAACACTTGGGGCGGCTGCCGTGTTTTTCCAGTGATGGCATTGCTGCTCAAAACATCTTTTTAAATTCCTCCCAGAATTTCTTTGAGCTTCACACAGGGCTACCCAAAGAGAATCAGTCTTATTTGTGTATTTTCAGAAATCCATTTGATCGTCTTAGATTTGTCAAAATAGGTGCTGAGGTTCTAAAAGCATGTTAGGAGTATGAGAAACATTTTCATCAAGCATAGTGTTCACATTGAGCAGGTATATCAAACATCTGCTCTGTGTTCTGCCACATACATTCTTATTTAATCCTCACAACTACCCTAGTTAAGCCCATTATCCATCATGCAACCACTTCAAGGAGCCCAGAGGTACCCATGGTGCAGATTTGGTCCATTGCTGTCTCCAGATTTGTTGGAACAAGACCTGTGAATTCTCGGACAGGGAGCACCTTCACATTCACACACAAAATCTACCTACCTGTGTTCTAGTTGCATCGCTTAGGATTTGCTTGATATTTTCTCTGAGGTTGATGCCTTCTTATTTTCTTGTGCTATCACAGCCAAAAGTCAAGATAGATTTATCAATACTCTGGACAGTGGCTCTTTTAAGAGGACCTGCTGCCATCATCCGAGGTAAAAGATTTAAAGTTGTTGGTCCTCAGTACACATAAAAACAGGACTTCATTCCTTGAACTCTCCTGAGCAGTTTATTATTAGAGTCACGTGTATTTTAAGGTCTTGTATTTAATACCTCAAACTGTTCATAATCGAGTGAGCTTTTCATGGCTAAAAATACTGGTTATGTATCTCCCTTCGCCACTGCAAGCTGCCGGCACTCTGTGTCTCCACTCAGCGGGGAAACAAGATCTAGAGCAGGCTGTGGTCGGCCTGTCCTGAAGCCGTCTGCAGAGATGGTAGTGGCAGAAGGAGGACCCCACGCGGTAGTATTGAGAGTGGCCTAGCTTGACTCCTTAGTTGAATTCCACCTGGGCAACCCACATCTGGTTTAGACTGAAGCCTCTACCTGGAAGTAATCTCCTTTCGGGAACCACCGGTAAGATCCTGTGACCCTTTGGTCACTATGGTGACTTTTCACGTGGCTGATGGCCTGATAGTCTGGTTTCAAGGAAAAATCCTGGATGGGCTGTCTACACAAGGCGTTCAGAGCTGTTACAGGGCCTTCTTCATTGTCATCAATCCTGTCTTTCAGATTCTTGAGACTAATGTCTGCAGATGTGCACCTCCTTTGCCATCGTCCTCACCATCTCTGACTTTTTTCCTTTCGTGCACACCTATACAAAAACCCTCCTGTCTTAAGTCTTTTGCATGATGCTCCTGCCCCTCTAACTGCATTCCTGTTCTGTTGTTTTCTCTCCTTGTCAAAGTATCTCTTAGGCTGTTGCCTTCTTTTTCTTCACTAGGCTTTCAGTCTTTGAAATTTCTTTCAATTTAGCTTCTGTCCCAGAAAGCTGTTCTTGGGATCTCATGGTTCCCTATTTGCCAGCCTTCTGCACTCGAATTCTCTGGCCTCAACTTGTGCGATTAACTCGCTGACCACCAGCCTCCCCCAAAAGTCCCTCTTCACTTCTGTGATGCTCCTGCCTCCTTCTCTTATCCCCACTGACAAACCCCAGACTCAGGCTCTTTACACTTCTCTCTCTACTCGCTTTGGAGAGCTTTATCTGCTAACTGCTTATTACCTCAGCCCTCACTTACTTTCCTGCTGCCGTTCTAACTGCTTGAGACTCGTTTTCACTTAAACTTTCTATTGTAACCCCAAACAAACAAGTCACAAATATTTATTTCCCTCCGTAAATTCCCCAATGTAACTTCTCGCCATTCTCCAGTAACACGGCTCCCATTTGTCCAATATGAAATCTTAGTCCAAGTACAGTCATTTGCACATAAGCATTTAATAAATTCTTACTAATTTTA